CCCTTGCTGACGTCAGCCCTGGGAGGAATTATTGCGCAATAAATTGATTAAGAGTTTTTCTTTTATAGTAAAAACACAGAGAATCTTCTAAAAATCATAACTAATTCATCCGAGCTCCGTTTAAGTCCATTCAAGTCTTAGTAAATTCATAAAAATGTATAGAATCCATTAAAAATGGTTTTGTTCTCTGTTTCAGTAGTCTTATAGCATGTTTTGCTTGTGTGCTTTGTTTGTCGCGTAGATTTCGGCCGTTTCGTCGATTCGCGGTTTCTCGAAGACGTTGCTGTGGTTCCATCAGTGCGAGAGCAAGGCAAGTCATACATTACAATTGATCATATTGTACCCAATTTACAAATGTCCCGCATTTCTATTAAATATTGCATTGTTTTACAATATCATGTGGGATGGGTCCTATTACTCAGCTATATGTTGTTTCCCTTACGCCATTGATAACTTGGGTATTAAAATGACTAGATGTTGGTTTAGGAGATGCTTAGCCCTGCTTAGTTCAACTAGTGCACAAAGGGGGATCACATTAAAGCATAGACTTGATTATCGGCATAGCTTTGGTTTAGTGCCACCGTAATGGTGTTGGTTAATTAAAATACACGTCATGGTGGGCTGTGGGTGCATGGTTTTGCTAGTCGTGCCCATGGCAGTTAAGGACCGGTTCGCGGGATGCCCCGGAAGAACTTATCGTACTTACCACAAGCCAGCGTGGGCAACGGCTAGGCTTGTAGTGTAACTTTTCTCTAGCCGACGTACCCAAGCGAGGGTGGGCGTGATGGAGTTGGGTCGGCCGGGGTGTCCGGTTGATCGGCTTCCGGATTCACCGCGGCACGAAAGGGAGGCTGCCCGTTGCCTGCTGGGGACGGGGGCGAACCCTAAGGTGTGGTGCGATCGGTTAGAGGGGGTTATGTGAAGGGTCCTGTCACGGCCTCTTTCTGGTATGTCGTGGTGGCATGTCGGCGCACGGGAACGTGTCGTGGGGCTGTGTCTTGTGGGTACAGTTGTACACCTCTGATCAGAGTAAAGCTATTCGAATAGCCGTGCCCGCGGTTATGGGCGGTCGACCAGATTCACCGTGATTAGTTTCACCCCTAGTTAGCTTTTGGAACTGGTTAGTTCAGGTGGTGGTTTGGGCCGGTCTCAACGTGGTGTAGCGTTGAGCAGTGATTGGTTAATATTGATTAATTACTACAATTGTTTTACTGCTTTCAACTACTGCTTTGAAATGCCGGCTTTATGCAAAAGAACCTTTAGCCTCCCTTGGATATATCTTGCATCATACCTCCTCTTCCGGTATGACTTGCTGAGTACAGTGGGTAGTACTCAGTCTTGCTCTCTTTTCCCCCTCACCAGAGTTGAAGTTCTTCTCAGCTGGAGATGTCTCGAAGAGGTTGGTTTCGTCGCTGCTGTCAAGGATTGCCTGTGGAATGGAATCGCTCGCTGCAGGAGTCAAGTCTTCAGGCTTAGCTCGCTTTTATCTTTTCCGCTGCATTTGTAATCTTTTATATTTTTGTAAGACGTGGATCTGTATGTCAACAATTGTCGTTTGTGTACCCTGGCTGGTCCTGGACAGGGGTTTAATGCACATTCAGCTTAGAAATTCTGGTTCGTGAATTTCTGGGCGTGACACTCCATTGCTGTTTTCGTACTTGGCCACCTCGCGGTTCATGTGAACGGACCGCAGCACCAACTCATACTCTTCTGGGCGCCATTTCTGCTCGTCCATCTTGGTGGGCAGGAAAACCTCACTACCTTCTCCAAGGAGGACAATGACTTGTGGAAGCGGCACCTACTCAACTTGGTCATCCAAGTAGTTGTGGCTGGCTACGTCATCTCCACATCATCTTGGACAGACCGCCGGCTGCAGGCTGCTGTGGTGCTTATGTTCCTCTGTGGGTGTTTAAGGTACACTGGGCGTACCTTCTGCCTTATCCTTGCCAGACCAAGGAGTCTCAGGGCTGCATCCCTGCACTATTTGAAATTTGTGCTACAGGAAGTTGAGAAAGGCAGAGTAGAAGAAGAAGCCAAAAAATATGTCAAAGAAAGATTTGAGTCAACATTGGATGGGAAGTCAAGCTCAAAAATTATACATACCGAAGCAGAAAACATCGGATATACTGAAAGTGAAGTTATTTCAGTGGACACTCCACGCGATGATGTGAAGTGCATTTTAGCAGCAAAGGATATACCATCCATGCTCAAAGAGTTTTATGACAATCCAAACCGCCGCAGGGCATATGAAATCGTGGGTACACAAAAAAAATATCCTACGTCGAGCCTTCTACTTGACTATTGTGCCCTGCCACATATCATTTCGTTCCCTCCTTATTACCTTGCTGGTCATTGTCCAGTGTATGTTCACCCCCATAGCCCTAGTGCTCTTCATGTGCGCCGATCGAAAAGGGCGGCCAACTACATAATAGAGCCGATATCATCATCTCCTACATATTACTTGTAGGTGCAATAGTTCTAGATGTCTTCGCTGCCACCATGTATGTTTGTCCCTACTTGATCTCCAAACTTCCTTCTGAAAGAACTACAAGCATAATCTTGTGGGCAGTCAATTCCATTCGGCCACTACGAGGCAGGAAACAATGGTCCCAAGAGGTAGCACAGTACAACATGATCACGAAGTACACCATGCAAGGTACCGTAGGTTTGTTGTCATCCGTGCAGAAATGGATCAGTGAGTGTTCCAATACTTGTGGTGTTGAGTTGCTTGATTCGACTTTAACACACATATCCATTACTGAAGACTTGAAGGAGCTGGTGCTCGATAAATTGTTAGAATTCGGAAAAGTTAAAGAGGACTGGAACTTCGCCAGTTCCCGTGGTCAGCTAACACTTCAGAAGCGGATCGACAGATGCAAATCAGAAGATTTGGAACAGACAAGTATGACGAAGTTGCAGGATAGCATTGGCAGAGATGTCGATTTCCCCACGGCTGTGCTCATCTGGCACATTGCGACAGATATATGCTACTACTCCGAGGATAGCACCACCGAAGTAAACAAGAAGAAGAAGGTGAGCCGAGAGCTATCAAACTATATCATGTACCTTGTCTTCAAGTGTGGCGTGATGCTTACAGTCAACTCCCAGCTTGTACATGACAGAGCTCTTGGTGAAATTGGGGAAAAAATTTATCGCCAACAGGATCAACAGGCTAAAACAAGTGAGAAGGAAGCTGTCAAGAAGTTTTTTGAAGCCAATGAACAGGAACAAGGAGCCTCGATGGCAAATGAAGAACTGAAAGATTTGGACCTCTGGCAAAGTATTGCGGAAGCTCTTAACTATCCAGTGTTGCATGCCACAGGCATGCCAAGTGGCCGCCGAGCTTTTCAGCATCGGCAATGAAGCTGAACGATGGAAACTCATATCTGAGATTTGGCTAGAGATGCTTTACTATGTTGCACCGCGTTGCGGGGGTGCTTTCCACTATGAGCATCTCAGCACCGGTGGGGAGTTCATCACGCATGTTCTCCTTCTCATGCGTTTTCTAGGACCTTTTCTACCAATTCCTACTGCTTCAGCTCCATAAGTTATGCCAATATCAAGCAATGGGTAGCGGGAAGGGCCATCCTTTTAACTAGTGGATACCCCACGCGCTGCTGTGGGTATCTCAGAATTAATTACAAGAAAGCTCAAATAAAACAATTTAGAAATAATGTTAAAAGGATGGCCCACAGTTTAGGCAATTTAGGTAGAATTTCAGTTATACATGACGCATGTATGGTTATAATCAAGCGTGAGAGAAATGTAATGGGCATTATTTTTCTAAGTTGATGTGGCTCATTAATGTTAAGCTTTATGATAATAATTACACTAAGTAGGTTGTAAATGAATATGATATATGGATGATGGTTATGATGAAAGCGCTATAAGGATTCAAAGGATATTATTTTCTAGTGGCTTAATGTATGTTTAGTGTTTGGTTCCAACTATATAGGATGTATAGATAAGTTGTGTATCTATTAATAATCTCTGCAATTAAATATACATTGCTGGGATGGAATTGGATCAGAACTGTTGTCTTTCTCATGTGATTTTACTACATTTGTGTATCTTCTAATAAGTCATGTTTGGATTGCTTGGATAGTCTGCTTATGGTGGATTCAAAATTACGCACTCCGTTTTTTTAATAGATAACAATATTGGTTTTTTACATGATCTTTTGACCATTCGTCATATTAAAAAATTGTATATAAATATCATTTATTTGTTGACATTTTTTAGATAATATTTAATTTTGTTGACATATTTTACCAGAAAGAAACTTTGAGTATGATTTATATTTTAGTATATTTACACTAGTTTTTTCATAAGACGAATAGTCAAACGTTATTTCAAAAGTCAACAACATCAACAACATCATCTATTAAAGAGAGAAGGTAGGTGGTATTTGGAATTCTCCAAAAATATGAATATTCACATTCACCGAAATGATCAAATCCCTGCCCCAAAAACATCCATTAAATCCCTAAAATGGATTCAAATGTCAATTTTTGACTTCAGATTTCCTTAAAATCTTTCTCTTTTGCCCAATTTGATTTCCAAGAAAACTTATCCAAATTTTCAATTCTTCTCTCTTACCCCCATTGGGCATGCAAGGGCAAATAATATACTGGCAGCAGTCTGCAGGAATTCGAGCAGAGCACGATGAAGCTAACCGCCTTCAAAACCGCCGAGAGACCTCGTTTGCCCGGTTTTCGTAAGTTGAGGGACGGGTCGTACCCGGTTTTGCGGTCAATGGACGAAAATCGGACTGGGCGACAAATAGAGGGACCCAAAGTGAACTTATTCCTTCCACAGTTCAAGGGTTCAAAACTGGGTCAGGGCTGAGTGAAATGCATAAGGAGCAAGCAGTATTGATATGGGCCTAGAGTTCATCTAGTTGGGGCCGCGGTGGGCTTTGTGCTGGGCCTAAGGCCAACACCAGGTTTTATTTTTACCCTAGTCGATCGATCTTCTTCCGCCGCCTGCGTACGCCCATCTCCTCCACCCCACGCGCGAGCAGCGGCGCCGGCGTCCTCCTGCTGAGGCCGGCTTCCACCGCCGGTGAGGTGATCACCCGCAACCGCACCTAGCAGGCAAAGAGGAAGGCATCCAAGGATGAGCGACGACGTGATATGGCACTGCATCCGGCACAACCACTGCAGCTTCATGGCCAAGTATATATGCGAGCAGAGCAGCAATCATCTTCTTTCTTTCGTTCGCTGTGGTGGTGTTCTTTGATTTCTGACGATAAATGGTTTTGGTTTTGCGGCAGGATCACGACGGGGATATTCTGCCGGAACCCGTACAACGCCACCGGAATATGCAACCGGAGCTCCTGCCCTCTTGCCAACAGCCGCTACGCCACCATCCGCGACCATGACGGTGAATATATACAGAGAGAATCCCTTATATGCTACTGAAAATTAGTCTGATCCCTTATATGCCATTGAAAATTGGCTCTTTCCTTATATGCCATTGATCCAAATTTGCACACCCTCTCATGCCACTCCCGTCAGTTGACCGTGTGTTGACCGTTAATTCTCAAGGAAAAAAGACGTATTTACCCTTCTGAGTATAGGGCATGCCTAATAACTCAGAGAGGGCAAATATGTCTTTTTTACTTAAAAGTTAACGGTCAACACACGATCAACTGACCGTAGTGGCATGAGAGAGTGCGCAAATTTGGACCAATGGCATATAAGGGAAGAGCCAATTTTCAGTGGTATATAAGGGATCAGACCAATTTTCAGTGGCATATAAGGGATTATCTCCCCCTTGTTGACTGACATTCGCAGTTGCAATTAGGAGATGCGTTGCTTTTGATTTGAAGGAAATCATTTAATTGTGACTGATAATTGTTATTAATTCCCTTATAAGATCGATGATATTTTGATTTGTGAGTAGATTGGATATATAAAACCTCAAAGTTAAACACAACAAATGACTGTTTTTTTTTAGTTTGGTCTAGCCAGCATGGAAGCTTATTAATTAGTTAATGTTTTTTTTGCCTAAAAGTCCATTCATTTAGTTAATTTTAAAGTGAATATACTCCATAGTACTGCAGAAAGTGTTTTTTTTTCTTTCCATGAGTGAATTGCTTATAGGCTTTCAGAATCCTTTAGTCCAAGAGCAATTCTACTGTCCTTGAGGAGGTATCATGAGATACCAAAATTTTAGTGTAAATTTTGGTACCTCATAGTACCTAGGTACAATGAGGTACCAATTTAATAATAGAAAAAATAGGACTTTATGGTACCTTCTCAAGGACCGTAAAATTGCTCTTCGTCTAACTGTCCAAGGATGCAGATATATTGCAGTCTAATCTTCAATTGAATCATGCATACTTGTGATATATGCTCCCAATTCTTTCCCATATAGAAATTATGCCTATCATCTGATCTTTTTTGTTACATTATTCTGTTTGTATTTTGTATTTATCCTTTTTTTTTTCTGGCCTTGCAGGTATTTTCTACCTATACATGAAAACAGCTGAAAGAGCTCATCATCCAAATAAATTATGGGAGAGGGTCAAACTACCAAGGAATTATGAGAAAGCAATTGAAGTCATCAACAGGCATCTTGTATGCACTTCGAGCGTACATATTTTGTCATTCCCCATCTGGATGTCAACTTTACTTAGTCTCATAGCTTGTCTTTCACTCTTTCCTTCATTGTGTAGGAATTTTGGCCCAAGTTACTTGTGCACAAGATTAAGCAGCGCCTGACAAAAATGACTCAGTATCGGATAAGAATGAGGAAGCTTCGACTGAAAGTGAGGTAGGCTAGCTCTTCAGTTTATTTTCCATAGTGTTTTCATTATGAGTTTTCTGCTTATATTGTTTTGATCATATTACACCATATCGTTGTTGAAAGAGAAAATAGTAATTATTTATGTACACTTCTATGTGGTGTCATATCGTTATAGGAACTTCTTTTAATACTAATGGAGAAATAATATGGGTAGCAGTAGACCGCAACTTTCAACTTCGATGGTATTACATATATAGTACAGCAGTTTCATTATAATCTGATTTGTGTTGTTGATGTATATTCTTTTTGTGGACTTTCTTTTGTTGACTTCTCTTATTTTATGAAAATTATAATCATCTTCCTATCTCGCCCTGTCAGAGAGAAGCTGATGACAATGCCCCGGAAGCAGACTCAGCGAGATCTCAGGAGAATGGCGAAAGCTGAACATGCCGCTCAAATATAAAAGGTTTTTATTTCTGATGTTATTCATGTGTTTCATAGTTTGCCTTATTATTTCTGATATACCTGTTGGCATGCAGGCTATCCAAAGGGAATTGAAGGAACGTCTTTGCGGAGGGAATTGAAGGAACGTCTTTGCGGCGATGACGGCATGATCTATAGTTATCCCTTCAAAGTTCTTGACATGGAAAAAGGTGATGTAGATCCTGAGGAAGATGAAGAAGTAAGCATCGATCGTTAATTGGCGCAGACATGCTCATCTCACATTTCGTGAACTAATCCATGTATCGTGAATTCAATTGTCAATACAGGAAGAGGTGGAAGAGTATGTTGAAGGAGACTATATGGATGACATGGAAGATATGGAAGACTTTGAAGGCCTCCCTGGTGGTGATTATGGTAATGTGACTTCCGCTAGTATTGATTTAATTTGAACATAATTTTCAGCGTACCGTGTGATGATGTGAAGGGAATTTTAATATGCATTGGCCAGCTAATACGTTACAGATGTTGGATTTTTTTTAGGTGATTTGGAACCATGCCATTATAATTTTGCAAAGTTTGAGATATGTCATCAGTAGGGTCAGGATGGCATATCTCAAATTTTGCAAAATTATAATGGCATGGTTCTAATTTTTCCTTTCTTTTATCAGATAAAAGGTTAATAGCATGTGATTTCCATTTTCCAATGTGACCTTCGCTAAGAAAAAAAAGGATCTAAATTGATGGCAGGTGAGATGAATGAAGATGATCTTTCGGATGAACGGATAGCAAAGAAACCCAAAGTTCTAGGTTCTGATTTGAGATCAAATATAGGGAAAAAATCCAAGAAGCCAACTGAGGTAAATCAACCATCACAATATATCATTCTTTCTCTGAGGGCATCATACATTTTGTCACCTCCATTACACCTACCTTTCTTATTAATAATAACCTGATCAGCCCTTGAAATTTTGTTATTCATCCATGATAGTATGATAAAAACTAGCTAGTTGCTAGTGGAAAGTGGGCATATACCACTTGCTTTATCTACACTGATCTTTCTTGTTATACAGAACATGAATTTGGTACATATAGAATTACCTTTCTTTTCTCTCTGGAATAATTTATGTTCTCTTGTAGGTTATAATTAGGAGATGCACAATTAATTTCTTGGTTACTATAGTTTATTTCTATATGGAACAGGTGGAACTTGATGAGGACATTATATATGGGTATCAGGCGAAGGACGTAAATGTGAGTTGTGCAAAGCACTGGCTTTAATTACATGCCATATAGGTGCTATCATTTTTGGTTGAACATGAGATCCACACGGACTTAGTTGCTGAGAAATCAAGATGGGTTGTGACATTGAACATTATTATATTTATATATATGTCGTACGTTAAACTATTAGATTTAGTCTTGTAATTGCGCGAGAAATGTCTACATATTATGCACCAAACTGGGTTAGGCAAGCAGTCAAACAGCCTAACCCTGGTTGATATATATATATATATATATATCTTACCAGTTTGTCCATCTTTCTAACTTTGCAAATTAACTAACACAGATAATGAGGGCAAACCCACATATATAAGGTGATAAAATATTATTGGTCAAATATTTAGGAGTAAAATTTTAAAAATGTGTGCGCGTCTTGAATTAGATGAAAGGAGTAGATCAAGTCGTAGTTAACCGCTTCCTCGTATGGATGGCATACCTGCCAACCGACGTAGCTGTGTTTGTGCTTGGCCAGCTAGCGCTTTGAGCACGGTCCACGTACGTGACTGAGCCGTGTACGTCACAAGCTGATGCTCTTGTGGCAGGGATTGCGATTTCCAAAATTCCGGTAATTTCGGACCCCACTTACACATCGGTAAGCACATATCTCATTTACATATTCGTTTTGTAGGGAATTGAAGAAGATGGGGGGAATTGAAGGGGAATAATTACACATCATAATAGATATGAAATCAATTCCCTCCAAATCTCCCTCAATCCATTTGTGGGAGGGATTAACCAAATAAGACATGAATGATGTGTGCTGCCTTACAGCAGGTACAATAGCAGGCTATAAGCCAGTTGTAAATATATTTTAAGAAGATAAACGAGGAGAGAGAAGGGCAGCGGGCTACAGATTTGTAGCCAGCTGTAGCACGGACTCCAAGACACAGTGTGTGAATGACAGGTGGGACCAGGTATTAATAGTGTAGTATGTAACTATTGTATGAATGAGCTATTAGATTGGCTATAGATGAATTGGAGCTAGTAGTTGGCTATACTATTGTACTTGCTCTTATAGCTGTAGACTAATTTGTTAGTACCAACAGTTTCACAATGTAAGTCATTATATCATTTCCCACATTCATATTGATGCTAATGAATCTAGACATATATATATCTATCTAGATTCATTGACGTCAACATGAATGTGGAAAATGCTAGAATGACATATATTGTGAAACGGAGAAAGTAACTCATAAGAATATGTTAATTCCAAATTCCCAATAGGCGATAGCCCTAATGCTCTTCATGGCGGCCAAAAGGGGAGCCAACTCCATACTCCCATCCCACCAATCCCGAAATAAAGTTTGGTTAGTTATTTAGAAATGAACTGAAAACTAGAAGGGCTCTTTCTCCTTATATATTTTTCCTTGCTCCACCAGACATCCTGCCGGCACAATTAGAAAGGCAATAATCTTGCAGGCAGTGAGAAGAAAACATTGGTCCGAACTCCGAAAAGCTAGTAGAATGTAGCTTCATCAATCACTTTGTTGAGATTATGGGCATATAATGATTTAATTTATTCTATAAATAAATCATGACATTACAGATGAAAACTAGCATGAACGCATCATTAGATCTACACATGTAAACTACGCAGAATAACATGAACATATCAAATATGCGCAACATATTGAACACGTACCGAGGTGACGAAAAGACCGGCTGCTTGGTCGAAACTTTTCGCAGGTGTCTACGAAGGCACGAAACACGCGAGCGAAGAGGAAGGCGAGCCGTCGCGAACGAACAGGGAGCAGTCGCGCGAAGCGCTTCCCAAAAACCTTATTGCCGCCTTCTCCCGGTGCAGGACGTCAAAGGCAGAGGTTCCGGAGACCTGCTCTCCCGATCGCTGGTGCACGCCGGCGAGTGGGATGGAGTAGTCTACGAGCGACGGCGCAGTACAGAGTAGGAGGCAAACCCTAGATTGATTTTCGCATATATTGCGTGAAGACGGCGGGTCGGTTTATATAGAGAAGGGTCGCTTGATCAGGGCGCCCGCACGATCTCTACTGCGCGTAACCGAACCGGATAAGTCGCGCGTAACTTATCCGGACTCCACGCCGTTTGCACGTACCGGATTTTTCGGAACGTTTCCAAAACAAAAACGAATCCGAATTTGCAGCAAAACAAAACTGCAAAAGGAGGCTGCATCTGCGCAAGGGTGAGGAGCCAATTTTTCGGACCATTCGACGCGTACGTCGTGCACGCGCGCCGCCTGCCCTGCCCTGCCAGGCCAGGCCAGGCGAGGCGAGCGAGAGCGCGCGTGTGTTTCCCCTCTTCTCTCCACCACACATGCTTCTAGTGGCTAGGAGGGCATCCTCCCTTTTAAGGAGGTCCCCCTCTCCTAGAATAAGCAAGGTGGTACTAAACTCCACATGCATGCCATCCCATGAGGTGGGCTTTTGTGATTTTCCAAAGAATTAATCTTCGAGTGGGCTAAGGCCCATTCATTAATTCCAACAATCCCCCACCAAATCTCAAAATCCCACTGAGATTTGCCTTTTCCAATGTACTGTTTATATACCAGCGGTTCGATGGAGACCAATTAAGGTTGAACATCCACCTAGAACTCCAAGCTACACTTACTCACAACTTGAACAATGGACTACGCCTTGAATTGCAAGTCTTGTGCAAGCAAGTTTCACTCAAAGTCTTATCTGGTACTAGACCGTCTGTAGACTACCCCTCGGGTGGAGCGTATAAGTCATACTCCTAGGTCTTTAGTAAGCTTCCTAGAAGATTCACCCAAAATCTTCATAGACTGCGACCAACAGTCAAGCTCACAAAGGTGAGTTCCTTCAAGAATGCTCTGCAGGACAACATCTTTGCTAATTAAAGCCAACAGAACTCATTAAGGCATAGCTAACCTGCCTTGCAGCTCACGAGAGTATATGCATCTTCACTTGGATAGGGTATATATATTGGTACTCTCCTCTAGTTTATTAATGGTTTGTTCTTCCCAGGATCTAATTCACGGGATCTCCGATCACATAGACTGGGTTACCACCATAGTATAACTCACATGGGTCTCAAACCCATCTCCTTCGATGCATTGTCTATCACATTTCGTGATAGTCCCTTCGTGAAGGGATCTGCCAGGTTTCTCGCTGTTTGGATGTAATCCAACGTTATAACTCCGGAGTTTCTTAATTTCCTGACAGACTTCAATCGTCTTTTCACATGTCTAGACGATTTCATATTATCCTTAGAACTATTCACTTTGACAATTACCGTTTGATTGTCACAGTTCATAAGGATAGCCGGCACCGGTTTTTCAACAACAGGCAGATCCATTAATAGATCACGCAGCCATTCTGCCTCAACAATAGCAGTATCCAGTGCCGTTAGCTCTGCTTCCATGGTTGACCTCGTCAAAATTGTCTGTTTGCAAGACCTCCATGAAACAGCACCACCACCCAGTGTGAAAACATATCCACTAGTGGCTTTGATCTCATCCACATCAGAGATCCAGTTAGAATCACTATAACCCTCCAGTACCGCAGGATACCCAGTATAGTGAAGCCCCAATTCCACAGTACCTTTCAGATAGCGCATTACTCGCTCAAGCGCACGCCAGTGATCATCTCCCGGATTAGAAGTAAATCGGCTCAACTTGCTCACAGCAAAGGAGATATCAGGCCTAGTTGCACTAGCCAGGTACATCAACGAGCCAATGATTTGGGAGTATTCCAGTTGATTCCTAGCAATTCTCTTGTTCTTGCGAAGCAACAAGCTAGGATCATAAGGTGTTGGAGAAGGCTTACTATCAATGTAGCCAAAGCGATTCAAGATCTTCTCCACATAATGGGACTGCAAGAGAGTAATCCCATTCTCACCTCTAATTAGCTTAATGTTTAAGATAACATCAGCTACTCCCAAATCTTTCATATCAAAATTTTGAGACAAGAATGATTTAACCTCATTTATCACCTCAAGGTTTGTCCCAAATATCAGTATGTCGTCAACATATAAGCACAAAATAACTCCCTCACCCCCACCATGGCGATAGTACACACATTTATCTGCCTCATTGACTGCAAAGCCTGCAGATGTCAATGTTTTGTCAAATTTCTCATGCCATTGCTTAGGAGCTTGTTTCAGACCATACAAAGACTTCAACAATTTGCACACTTTGCCTTCTTGACCTTCAACTACAAACCCATCAGGTTGATCCATATAGATCTCCTCATCCAGCTCTCCATTAAGAAAAGCTGTCTTAACGTCCATTTGATGAACGAGAAGACCATGTGAGGCTGCTAGGGAAAGTAGCACACGAATTGTGGTCAATCTAGCAACAGGTGAGTAAGTGTCAAAGAAATCTTCGCCTTCTTTCTGAGTATAGCCCTTAGCAACAAGCCGAGCCTTGTACTTTTCAATAGTACCGTCAGGCCTAAGCTTCTTCTTGAACACCCACTTGCACCCCACAGGTTTACACCCATAGGGTCGCTCTGTCACCTCCCAAGTCCCGTTAGCGATAATGGAATCCATTTCACTACGGACAGCCTCCTTCCAGTAGTCTGCATCAGGAGATGCATATGCTTCTGAAATTGACTTAGGAGTGTCATCCACGAGGTACACAGTGAAGTCATCACCAAAAGACTTAGCCGTCCTTTGTCTCTTACTCCTTCGAGGAGCTTCACTGACATCCTCCTCAGAGACAAGTTCATGTGTATGTTCAGTTTGTTCTGGTGGTGTGATTGAACTGGGAATTATTTCAGAGGGTTGGTTCGAACCACTATGTGTATCCTTCATTGGGAAAAAGCTCTCAAAGAAGGTAGCATCACGAGACTCCATAATTGTACCAACATGCATGTCCGGTACCTCGGATTTAACTATTAAAAATCTATAGGCAATGCTATGATGAGCATATCCCAGAAAAACACAGTCCACAGTCTTAGGTCCAAGTTTGCGCTTCTTCGTTATTGGTACATTGACTTTCGCCAAGCACCCCCATGTGCGCAAATAAGAAAGTGATGGTTTTCTACCAATCCATATCT